GGGGGGGGGGGGGGGGGGGGGGGGTACCATGCATCGGGCAGCCATTTCACCGTGTTGAACTTCGATTGCAGGTTTAAATATGTTTCTCAGCATGAATGAGAAACATAGCATAAGCACTTCCTTCAAAATTTCATCCTTTTAGCAGGGCCTTGATCAATAATGGGATCTGCTGCAGGCTGTTGCAGTTCTCCTTGCTGGCTTTCAGGGCCTTTTTCTGCTTCTGATGCGGGAGCAGGAACATAACCTTCTGGAAATGGTGGGGGTGGAGGGGCAGGTGGCAGCTGCAAACAAGAAATTTTTGCCTTTTGATGACGATCTTCAGCCAATGCATTAGAGATATAAACTCTACATGAATATGATCAACTAAGTCTCCATATGAAAAATATAAATCAAGAACAAGTTTGCAGCCGATACTAGCAGCTTATCCCGTAAGATGATTTAATTTCTTTAAGAAGTTTAATTGTATTAATTTTGATTAATTACAGGTACAATATATGAGATTTTGTTCATTTGAGCCTTTTCTCAGGACACATATAAAGCCTTAGTCATTTCTGTTCACCCTTTAATTCATACATGTTTTCACAATGTTTTTGTTCAAAAAATAGAGATTTCAAAAACATTAATCAAACAAAACTAAAAAAAATCATCAGGTGAGATTGTGACTAAAGAAAAACTGCACCCAAGTTCTCATATCTTAAATTTGAACACTTCATAAATTAGCTCTTTGCAATAGATACACAAACACAACATGATTTTCTGTTGTAGAAAAGATAAAGCTCATACAGTATCAATATATCGATATTTGAGTTACCTTGCGCTGTAAGGATGCAAGAATACGATCAACTCGCTTTACTTCCTTAAAGTCAATGGTCCCTTTTGCAGGTTTTACGTCTTCACTCTCATTCTCAGAATCCACTGAACCAGATATGAGAAAACAGTCAATAAAATTGAAGCTGCAAGATAAAATGACAAAATTCAAAGATCATCGGGCTATTAGGCAATGTCTCTGTATCCACAATATTCTACATTTCTTATCAAAAAGTTGATTTCTGAAACTGAAGTTTGAATTCAAAAGAACTTAAATCAAGCCTATTGGGTACCAATTACAATCAACATCAACTATCTTAGAGCCTGAAAGGCTATTATGGAGTTTCTCTCTCTTTCTTGTTTTTGGTGTCAGGGAGTTTCTAATTCTTCATTAGCAACAATAAAAAAATAATAGCTAAATGAGTATGATTCAACTCAGATTTGAAAACGAAACCAGGTTCAGATAAGATAGTAAAACCCTGAGCACGTGAAATCATGATGAATGATCATCTTTTACTGATAACTTAAAAGAGAAAAAATTATATCATAAAGAGTTAGATACCATATCCAATCTTCTCCAACTTTGAGGAAGCAGTAGTAAAGGCCTTCGATATGTAATATAGTGCCCGGCTCTGTGGTATAATGAAGACTAAACATAAGTCTACAACAAAACAGAACAAGAGAGAAGCAGAATCCAGACTCGCTTTACATCTTAGTACAAATTCTTCTTGCATTTCATAGCACGAAAAAAAAAAAAACAAAAACCAACCTTTAAGATGATGAAGCATGATTACAATATCACTAATTAGAACAGAAACTAAGTTTCCAGTTGAAATATACTTCCTATTACCATATTTTACTGAATACAGCTATGAAATCGTAACCATATGCATCAATTATCAACAAACAAACAAACAAACAAACAAAAAAAAAAAAATCTAAGATTGCACCAAATAAATGGCATTGACAGAGAGATAAGTATGATAATCTCACAACTCGGGCAGCAAAGACATTGCAAAGCTGAGGCGCCTGGTAAATAGAACCATCCAAGATATAATAAGTCAGCATTGGTGTGACTTTCTCAGGACCATCCCTCTTCTGCTTTCGGAAAACAAAAAGGTGGGGCTCCATAACTTCATTCAGCATGTACTCTATCCCTGTCATTTTTCTGTTCAACAGAAGATTTCCCCATCATTATAATGAAAATTGGAGCCCAGGATTTCAATTAACAATGTCTAGAGAATTCAGTTCCAATTTTTGACAATCTCACTTGAACGAGGAGAAAAGAAAAAAAAAAAGTTGAACTATCCTATCGAATCGCATAGAAAATGCATCCCACTTCCCCTCACTACTACAAATAGAAGAAAGAAAAGAATTGCGATACATACAACCAATTAGAGGAAGAAAACTATCAAAAGAAGAAACTCTATCAAGAAAAACAAAAAATTAGGAGACGAGAAATCATACGAGAGTTGAGAGAGATCGAGGGGGTGAATTGAGCGCATTCTGAGCTGTTCATTGTTACAAGTCCAGTCGTAGAAAGGGGACAAGGCGAAGTAATCGAAAACCAGGTTCCGATCGAGAGGGTAAGTATTGAGCCAGAGTTGGTCTCTGAAGCAAATTCCAGTCATGTCCGTGCCTGGCTGCTGAGGCGCTGCCGGCGGAGGTCCTCCCTCAAAATTCCCGATCCCCGGTGGCGGTGGAGTTGCCATTTGCTTCAGATTTCACTTTTCCCCGCCCGAAAGTGCAGAATTAACGGATCCCTTCGCCTGAGGAAAATGCCGCTTCGCCCTTTTTCTTTGTTTCCCGACGAGTCGACAACATAGGAACTAGGAAGAGAGTTGAGCAAGACCTAGATCAATGACGACATGTCGGTCGAGTGATCCCATTTACCTCTCCATCCCAATTAATTAATGTTTTATTAATGATAATTACTTTTTTTAGGACATATATTACAATTTAATCTAAAAGAATAAGAAATATACCCAAAGTTAAAATAATAGTAAATATGAATTTTAAGCTATTAGGTAAAAAGTACTCCTCGCATCTTAATCAATAATTGATCTCTATAGTTTTAAAAATTAGATTAAATTTAGTAGGTAGTATTTGTATTTAGTTGATTGGGTAAATTAAGTTAAATAGATAATTACGTAAAAATAAAAAAAGAATTGTCAATTAAATATTATATGTATTGTTTGATACGATTGTTGAATTATAGTCTAATTAAAGAATCAATTAATGTTCCAATAATTCAAACTATATATTTTCATGAATTTCCATTTCCAAAATAGTTTATTTTCACATATATAGATATTATGATTAAAAAAAATCAATAGAATAATTAATTTTAATTTACACAAATTTAAAATTTCAATTCTTCTATAGTTTTTAAGATTATTTACAAGATTTTATTAAAATTTTAATTTGTAAAATTAAAATACTAATTTTCTCTTAATTATAAAACTAAATTTATAATTTAACTCTTCTTAAAATAAAAAATAAAAGAGTTTAAAAATATTGTTTGTTCATCCATGCCCATGGTATTAAAATATACATTTTAAAGTGACCCATATTTTAGACCTTTGAATATTTCGCGCCCACCTGGTTCCTTCCAGACGGCATTCACGTGTATAAACTTGTCTCCATTTTCTTTCTTTATTTTATTCCGCAGACGCCATCGATATTGACAGGCAGAAGAACAAGGAAACAATCTCTTCCGGTTGCCGTATTTAGTGAAAAACATATTGCAAATCCTCAAACCTCATTCCTTAATGGCAACTCTCCAATTCTTCGTCCTCCTCCTCCTTTCCAGTTCCGCTCTCAACAATTTCGTCTCTGCGCAGAATCCTTCAGGTATGTATCGAACTTAAAATCTCAAATTCAATGGATCGACATACGAATTTGATCATCGATCCTCTTTCTCGTAATTTTAGGTTTCATTAGTTTAGACTGCGGAATTCCGGCGAACTCCACCTACACAGAACCGAACACAGGAATAATCTACGAATCCGATGCGGCGTTCATAAATTCCGGCGAACTCCACAACATTTCCGCCGATGTCATACAGAATGGTCTTGGACGGCAGCTGTGGAGCCTGAGGAGCTTTCCGGAAGGAGTTAGGAATTGCTACAAGTTGAAAGTGAGGGCAGGGACGAAGTATTTGATTCGAGCGACTTTTCGGTACGGAAATTACGATGGTAGAAGGAATTTGCCTGGATTTGATCTGTATTTGGGAGCGAACGTTTGGGATTCGATAACATTTACTGAAGATTTGGTGGTGCGTAAAGAGATTGTGCATATTGTTTCGTCCAGCGATGTACAAATTTGTGTTGTGAATGTTGGAACTGGAATTCCGTTCATTTCTGCTCTGGAATTGAGGCCTCTGAAAGACTCTATTTACCAGTCCGGATCTCTGACGTTGGCTAATTTCTTCCGCCTTGATTTTGGCTCCCTTGATAACCGAACAATCAGGTTTGTTTTCAATTTTTACCATTTCTCAGTCTCGATTCTGCTTTTCCTGTTCCTCTTCTTCTTCTTTTTCACGTTAGCATTAGGAGGAACATAATCAATATCTAAATTCAAACTAATTATGTTCGTAAACACTCCAATATAGTTTATACGAGAAACGAGAAACGTAATGAATATCTAAATTCAAAGTAATTATGTTCCTTAACACTTCAACATAGGCTATACGAAAAACGTAATGAATATCTAAATTCAAATTAATTATGTTCTTAAACACTTCAACATAGTCTATACGAGAAATGTAATGTGTATCTAAATTCAAACTAATTATGTTCCTAAACACTTCAACATAGTCTATACGAGAAACGTAATAAATATCTAAATTCAAACTAATTATGTTCCTAAACACTTCAACATAGTCTATAACATGTTAAGCATCTATAGAAACTCATTTTTAAATGTTTAATTACTAAACTTGATTTTCTTTCGAGATAAAAAAACATGGGAAGATGAAAAGTTTAAATTTTAATTGAAGAATTATTCTAGGGTGAAGATGAGAAGTTTAAATTTTAATTGAAAAATTATTTTACGGTTATATTTAGATTATACTACGAAAAATTATGGTTAGAATGATGTATCATTGTTTTATATTTATGTATCAATAATATTAGTATTAATATTGGTTACCCATCAAATCAAGTGATATTTTATAAAAAAAAAAAATGTTGAATAAATTATTTGGATAAACGTATGTTTTAGTATTTACTTATTTTTTAAATATTTAAATGATGGTACTCCATATTTATTAAACATATACTAAGAAATGTTTGTAGTGTGTGTGTATATATATACACATTCAATTTTGCCAAATATTTAGAAATTTTGAGACAAATTAGAGATTTTCCAGTTTTAGCCAGTTTATCATTAATCATCAATCAATTTTAACCTATAAATTAAAAGAAAATAATTTAAAATTTATAAATTTGATTTTTTTTTTTTTTTTTAGTAATGAAAAAAAAGACTAAATCGAGAAAATAATAGAGTAGTAGTATGTTAATGGTTATTCTAATATTGCATGCTTCACTCTGAGAAGGTACAAAGACGACGTCTACGATCGAATCTGGGATCCACCGATTCCAATCAAAGAATGGACAACCTTAAACACCTCGCAGCAAGTGAATGTCAACGACCAGGCCTTCTTCCAGCCGCCTCCGGCGGTCATGAACACGTCGTTGACGCCGAGAAACGCAAGCGCTCCGATGGTGTTCACATGGCAGCCGCCGGATTCCACGACGCCGTTTTTCCTCTACATGTATTTTGCGGAGCTGAAGAAGCTTCAAGCGAATGAGTCCAGAGAGTTCGACATAACTGTGAATGGAGAACGGTGGCTTAATAAATCGTTTTCTCCCCAATTTTTAAGCGTATCGATCGTTTTCAGTACCTCACCTATGACTGGCGGATCATACGAGATCTCCCTCGTGAGGACTGCCAATTCAACCCTCCCTCCGATCCTCAATGCTGTTGAGATTTATCGAGTCGTCAATTTCTCGCAATCCGAGACAGCTAGAGAAGATGGTATGAACTTTGAACAACTTTACTGATTTCCTTTGCATTTAGGGCTAAATTTCATTTTGGTGCTCTGACTAAATTGAAAAATATTAATATATTAAGAGTTAACTTTTAAAACATTAAAGGCTAAATTCAAAGAGAAAAAATACCCAATTTGGAAAAGAAAGAAAACTGGCTAAACAACATTTTGAAATGTTTCAGTTGTTGCCATTGAGAATATCAAAACAGTGTATGGAGTTAGAAGAAACTGGCAAGGAGATCCGTGTGTCCCAAGGGGATTAATTTGGCAAGGACTCAACTGTAGCTTGGTGAACTCTGTGCCTCCCAGAATCACATCCTTGTAAGTTTTTTTGTTCTATCTGTGTAGCATTTCTGTTACTGTCGGCTATTTTTGTGTTGTTAATATTTGATGTTTCAATGAAATCTTCCCTCATCTCCTTTTTGTTTCTTGGAATTCATTTTTATGGTTTTCTTTCTGGGATGGCTGAACTTTCAATCAGGGATTTGTCCTCCAGTGGACTGACGGGTGAAATACCTAGAGATATAGCTGATCTTAAAATGCTGGAGACTCTGTAAGTGAAATTATTAGTTCCTCACAACAAAAGAAAATAATCTAATATATCACCGCTGATTCTTACATGAATTCGTTTTTCATTTTTTGGTTGGTTTTAGAGATCTGTCAAACAATAATTTGAGCGGATCAGTGCCTGAATTTATCACTCAATTGCCATCGTTGCGAGTCCTGTAAGTTACACAAAAGTAGTTAGACAAATAATAAGTTTCTTTTTAATTTTTACCTTAGATACAATATTTTCTTACACACTGCATCTTTTTATTGCAGAAACTTGGAGAAAAACAAGCTTTCAGGACTAATTCCAGCCCAGCTCGTAGAAAGGTCCAATAATGGCTCTCTGTTATTAAGGTCTAGTTTCTCTGAAAACTCATGCAATAAGGTCTAGTTTCTTTTGAAGTGATGTTAAAATCTTTGTTTTTTTTCTTCTGATAGATTTGGCGAAAATCCTAATCTGTTTACTACGCCTCCAAGCAAAGAGAAGGGAAGCAAAGTTGTTGTTCCTGTAGTAGCATCAGTTGTTGGATTTCTTCTGCTTTTGTTCTTAATTGCAGCGGCTATCTTTTGGAGGAAAAAAATAAGAAAATCAAAAGGTGAGAACATACTATACGATTTTTTATGAATTTACTCTCTGAAATTTGTTGCTATTTTAGTTCAGATATCTAAGCTTGTGATATCCTTTTAGAAGCTGTAATTGGAGTGGCGAAACAAGCTGTTGATCATTCTGAAAATTGGGACACGACTAAGAGATGCTATTCATACTCGGATGTCCTAAGAATGACAAACAATTTCGAGCGTATGCTTGGAGAAGGTGGTTTTGGACGAGTTTACTATGGCAAAATCGAAAACATTGAAGTAGCTGTCAAAATGCTATCTCCTCGATCCATTCAAGGGTATCAACAATTTCAAGCAGAGGTCCGGAACTTTGATGTCTACCAAATACAAAAGTTCATTCATAAATACTTTAATTTCTCTCGATTGACACCCAAATTCTAACAATTTCAGGTTGACCTTCTTATGAGGGTTCATCATAGAAACTTGACTGGTCTGGTTGGATTTTGCAATGAACCGACCAACAAAGGACTCATCTATGAGTACATGGGCAGAGGAAACTTGGGATCTCTCATCTCAGGTCTGGTTTTGGTCATTGTTGTGTAAAAATATTTTGCTGGTTTGCGACATGTGGAACTTCAATTATATGTTCTTAACTTTGATATGGATGACATGTA